CGATGGCCTCCAAACTAGCAGTGATGGCCTCCACCCTAGTAGCGATGACCTCCACCCTAGTAGCGATGGCTTGCAAGCTAGACGCGATAGCCTCCAACCTAGGGTGGCAAATCTTTTGAACAATTTCCTTTCTATATGGACCCCGGAAAACTGCAGGTATTTCATCGCCTCGGGCTTCAGTGTCTACTTCCATTGGTCGGACTCTCCAAAGCATCCCCGCTCTGCCTGTCGAGGCTCAGGCAGGACAATGACCCGGCGTAAAGATCCACCACCCTTGCATCACCCGGGCAAGACCCTTGGATCACCCGGGCTGGGGATCAAAGACTCGTTGGTTCTGGAAGGAGTCTTTTGCCCGTTCATTTGCTGATTGAAAGTGTGCGGTTGAACCAGGAAACCGTAGTGGAAGCGGTATATATTTGGATATTGATGTAATTTGATATAGTAATTAGTGATTTAGTTTATTTTCATTTGATGTTTGATCAGTAAGTTCCTCTAAGTGACCAGCCCTGTTCCGCACTTGTTTGCAGGCAACATTTTTAGCAAACTACTTGGTGTGCAACGTGGTAGTGACGTGCCAATGACGCAAACGATGCTGGAGCTGGGGGAGTATGCAGCGGAACCCGCTGTGTGGGTGAACACCTGGCGGCATCAGGGCCATTTGCAGGCAATGGTCCAGGGCAGGTCTCTCCTCGTCTCCACCGAGGACCTCTTCAAAGTCCTTCAAGGCCTCTGCTGCGTGGGTGGGAGGAGGCCCACCCCAATGGGTGGCTGACTGGGTGTGTCCGAATTGGTTAGGCTCGGAAGGTCTGCAGACAACCAGCCATAGATACAGTAGGCTATTTTACTATGATGAATAGAGGGGATACAGCACGTGAACCCACGAATTCGTACCATGGACCCAAATGGACCCCTGGATGATTTCCAAGTGACATCATTGCCACCAGCGGCACTCTCAGGCCTAGGGTCAAGTGCAGGTCAGGTGCCAGCATCTCTCAGTCGCACCAGGATATGCCAATGCCTTGGCCAACTCCGTCGTATACGCGCGCTGTTTCGTGAAGGAGTTGAACAGGAGAGCCCAACTCTGTCTCATGGAGTGCACTGGAGTTTGTGACAGTGGTCGTGGGTCAAGACAAGCATCAATCGTAAACACAGTATGTTCCAGGCAAGTACAGCGTGTTTGGACAATGTTTTATTGCGGCATCAAAACCGAATGAAGCCTTTAAAAAAGCGGTCGCTCTTTTGAAAGGCCTCACCAATTGAAAGGCACCTGGCACCGTTTTGCTGCGTCCCAGACTCTGAGGTGGACAAGTGACAGATCTTCCGCTTCCTCTCATGAAAGGTGGCTCTGAGGAAGATCTGATTTTTCAGAACCGTAAAGTCCAAGTTCGAGGCCCAAGCATGTTGACACCAAAGGTGCAACCTGTCATGCCCAATTGAGGCAAGGCTCGGGCAAAGCCTTTTGATCTTTTTTAAATATGTGTTAATTAAACGTGCAGCCACTGCCCATTGCTGGCACTGATGGCGCACAAGCGTTTTAATCACTTTGTAAGCACTTCAGCCCTTCCATACTTCTCACTACACTGATGGCGCAGGTCTGCAAGCCAGCCCATAAGCCCTCACCAAAGAAAACGAAACGCCTTCTTTCCGCCTTTGTGGGGACGCCATCGCTCTAGGGTGGAGGCCAAAAAGAGGTAATAGCTTTGTTTATGTTCTAAGTTCCAGGGTGTAACGGGGCGGTGTTCTTCGCCACTTCGTCTGAACATTGCATGTCTTACCACTTGGGAAATGGATGACCACAGGCTCAGGGCTGGAGGTGAACAGCACAAAACAGTTAGATGCCTCTTATACCCTCTTCAACTGTGTTGTTGAGAGCTCTGTCCATCCAGAAACGAACCTTCGCGTGAGAGCTCTGTCCGTGCGAAGAGATCGATCCAGGACGGCCCTTCCTAAGCCGAAAGGCCGAGCATCGAAGGTTCAGAGTCGAGACTCTGCGCGATGATTTTCCAGTGAGCTTAGAGAGCCACTGGAATCACAACGACCCAAACGACACTTTTGGAATGAACGACTTTGCCCTTTTTGGGACGGAAGAGGGTGGCCATATGTTGCCATGTTGTATTGTGTTCTTGTTTTCTTCGGTTCATCGAGAGGGTTTTACCAGATGTTTTACCATCCAGGTGTTACCAATCCATGACGCGATCGATGTGGAAGCACGCTTTATCGGCCACCGTCCGTCCGAATTGGAAGAGACGGCACGTTTCGGCACGTTTCGACCCTCAACGGATCGGATCGGCTCAAAGGATCGGATCGGACCTTCAGTGAATCACTGTGAATCATATTGTTGAAATATGTATGTTGAATCAATATGAAGTTCTGAATCACACAGTTGAGGTAGGAAACAATCCAAATGAGGTGGTGTGAACGATGAATCCAGAGTTTACAGATCAGAGTTCTCGACTCGACCTTTTGGAAGCCCTTTTTGAGCCGTACCGACATGATTCTTCACCCACGCTTTGCGGCGCTCCGAACCAAAACCGCGCTCGGTTTCGTTTGACGCGCTCGGTCGAGTCGTCGAGTCGTCGGCTCTGGCGGCTTCATCGAAGGACAAAGATGAGCTGTTTGAATTCGATGCCCATGGAAAAAGATGAAGAAAGAAACTGAAATCAGAACATCTCAGCTTTCAACCCTTTTCTCGGGAGTCATATATGCCCACATATGGCCACGGACGACAGCGTCAAGTATGAGAAGTTGGAGAACCAATCGGAGATTTAAAAGAATGCCCCACCCCCAGCTCCAAACTCCGAACTTGGCAGGAGTTGCAGTTGCTGATGGGATGGATGCAACTGGTGCTGGACCCATTTTCAAAACTGATGAACTTGAGGATCACGTTCCACACCGTTCCACACGACCCCCAGCTGCTCCCAGCTAGGCCACTGAGTCGGACCGGCTCGTCACCCGCACGCGGGCTCGTGCGGTACCGCGTTTGGCTGGTAACCCGCGGCTCCGGTTTGAAGGGCCAGTCTCACTCCGTCGCGAGCGCCTGCCGCGGGCCATGGAGGAAGCACCGGAGATCGCGGAGACCACTGCCGGAAGCCCGCAGGGAACCGAGCGGCGTGAAAAGAAGGCGCCCATCCGACGCCCAAACTCCGTGGCCCTTCCGAGGAAGATGTGTTTGGTTTTTGCCAGCTTCCAAGTCCTCAGTGACCAGACGTCGTGATTGTGGTGTAGAAGACCGTTTGTAGCTCATAAATTTTAGATAGATGACCACTGTGGCAAACTTATATCCTTCCTGGATCACAGAATTACAACCATACCAAAATCCGGCGGTGGTGACGTTGTTTTATGGCAAATACAGCCGATGGTCGCACGGTGCTTGGTGCAAATGTTTGCTTTCTTTTGTCCTTGCAGGCCTTGGACTTCTTTGAGGTCTTGGATCAAATGCAGGCAGGCAAAGAAGGAGGGTTTCGGCAGCATCATCACTGCAAAGCATCAATGGCACTCAATGGCCATCAGACAGATTCGCATGTACACCATTGAAAAGGACTTTGCCAACAAGGAATTCGACCAAGAACTCGACAGAGAAAAACAACTGGACCTGTCAACATGTGCAGTGTAGGACATCACACTTACAAAAACACCCAGCACAAGCTTCTTCGTCCAAGCAAAACGCTGCGACGGTATCGTCGACCTGCCATAGGTCCTTCAGTACCGGCTCCGGGAAGCCTATGAGGCCGATGTGGCCAGGCCGAGGACAGGTGCCCACCTTCCGCGGCACATCGCCTTTCAGACGCCGTTGCATTCACCGGGGCCTTCTCCGGGGCTACAACTTCAACATCTGCAACAGATGAGTCACCCGAGTGTTTTTTTAAGTATATTTTTTGGGGGGGGGAGGGATTAAACAAGCGTGGGGCGTGGATTCGTGGATCTTTTTCTGGGTAAATCTATGTCATCCCCATGCGAAAATGGGAACCATTTATGTTTATTCGTGTTTATTGTATGTAGTAACAAGTGCCACGCTAGTAGTAACAGGTGCATCGCTAGTAGTAACAGATGCCTTACTAGTAGTAACAAGAAGCTATTGTATGATATGCTTTTTTCTTTTTCTATGTTCCCTGGGAGCCGATCTGTCTCGTGTCCAAGGCCAGCTGAGTCAGGTGCATCCCTCAAGCCCAAAGGGCACCATCGAGGACCTGATCATGCAGAGTCAAGTGAGTCCACAGGGCACGGCCGAAGAGGTTCATGCGGCTCGCCAGGGACCACGGTCAGGTTTGATGTGTGATCAGATCTTTTTTGGTCGGGTAATGTCGGGTAATGTCTTTAGGAGGGCATGCGTCAAGGAAGATGTGTTATTAGGGGAAGGTTGGTGTGCAAAGACTGTTGCCCGCGTTGAGCCTTCTTGTGTCCGCAAGTTATCAAATGGAAGTCATGGAAGATGTCAAAATCTGAAAAAATCATCCTGCTCCTCCTTCTTTTGCCGGCCATTCGTTGGCCATTCGGCCCATCATCGCAGTGTTCAGCCATTGGTGGGTGATGGGTTATATCCCTGCGCGGCTGTTCCAGCGCGCCCCCCCAGACAACGCAGAGCCCAGCAGAAACAGCTGGAATGTCCCAAGTGCGCTGAAACCGGGAATATTTGGGAATGGACCTTCGGGAAGAGGCAAGGCTTGCGTGAGCCTATGTGTTCCTATACGACATGTGATGACATGTGCATACATCTTCCAGTTTTATTATGTTGCGCATTCCTAACGAAATGTATATTATATAGTAATTATACATGCAGGCAGCGCTACGAAATTAATTGAGTGTACCTACTGAGTTCAGAATTGTTATGTATTTGGGGTGCCATTTTTGTTCGATTAATCACGAAAGCTAGCATGCTAGCTGAGTTCTTCTTTGCTTTAGCAATGTTGTGGTGGGAGGGGCTGCGTGCCTTAAAGATTGATGTATCAAGCTAACCCCCCCCCCCCGCGGTTCAACTCCCAGCTGCGCCGCTTCGCTTATTGTTGTGGTGCATACCACCATTCCACTGAATGAATTGCGTGATAGCTCTGCTGGTGTTCAGACAGCGGCAAGGTGTGCATATGTTTGTGCAATTGTTTGCATCTACAATCCTTGGTCAAGGCATGTCCTACGGTGAGCACGCTCCATTTCACCTCCATGCTACGTCGTTCCTTCAGCCTCCGTCCAGGGTTGGCGTCGTTTTGCTGGTTCGAGTGGCTCATTCAATGCAGAAGTTAACAAGCTGATAGGTATAATGATAATGAGTTGCGTGTATATTTGAGATCATTTGAGGTAGTTCATGCTTTGCTACTTGTTGCGGCTTGGTGCTGCTGCTGCTGTTGCTGACGACGCCGCTGCTGCTGCTGCTTGCTGCCGGTGGTGCTGCTGCTGCTGCTGCTGCGGCTTGGTGCTGCGCTGCTGCTGCGTGGTGCTGCTGGCTGGCTGCTTGGCGGTTGCTGCTGGCTGCTGGCTGCAGGCGGCTGCTTCTGCTGCTGCTGCTGCTGCTGGCTGCTGCTTGCTGCATAGGACTTGTACTTCACCCTTACAAGTTGTTTACCCTATTTCTAACCTAGTGCATGCATAAGCGGGTGGTAAATTTACTCCCAAGGCTTGCTATAACCATACACAGGCTATTTCCTCAAGACACTCTATTCCTGATACCTTTTACATCCTTTTTACCAGTGCTTATCCTACACTACGGACGCCCTAGTGTATGCACAGTCCTTGATGCTTACCCCTCGTTCCGGCTCAAGGCATACATAAGCGGGGGGTAAATTTACCCCCCAGATTTGCCATAACCATAAGCCGGCTATTTCCTCAAGACACTCTGCTCCTTATACCTTTTACCAGTGCTTATCCTACACTACGGACGCCCTAGTGTTTGCACAGTCCTTGTGATGCCAGAAATGCTTACTCCTCTTTCCGGCACAAGGCATACATAAGCGGGTGGTAAATTTACCCCCCAGATTTGCAATAACCATAAGCCGGCTATTTCCTCAAGACACTCTATTCCATATACCTTTTACCCGTGCTTCTCCTACACTACGGACGCCCTAGTGTATGTACAGTCCGTATGATGTCAGAAATGCTTACCCCTCAAGGCATACAAAAGCGGAGGGTAAATTTACCCCCAGACTTGCCGATCAAGCGCAAAGTATGTACATAGCAACCTTCCTCCCAGAACATGTACTCACTACATGCTTTGCCGACTATGTGACTAGTACATCCGGTGCGATTCGGCTAGCTTTCGACCTCCTCCCCCTGGCCTCAAGTTTTGTAAATCGGACATGTTGTTGGCACGAGATGTGCTGAAATTCATGAGCATTTGTGTTGGCAAATCAGTTGCTGGAAGGTGGTCGCGGTTGCACGCACAAACTCTGACAAACGCAGGGCGAAAAAAATACATAAACACAATAAAGCTAAGGGCTGTTTCAGACGCGCATGATGCAGGTTGGATTTGATCAATTCATGATGTGCAGGCTGTCCAGAGTAATTAGGAGAATTGCTACTCTACTAGGTACCCCTAATTCAGAACACCCAGAAACTATTTCAGTTTGGGGTAGAGGTTGTTCTTTTTGAACGTTAAACTAACTTGTTTAACACATGAATTAATTAACTGAGGTCACCATCAATCAATTAATTATATATATATATTACATAATTGACCGGTACCCCCTAGTCACCCGCCTGCAAACGCACGGCGCATTATATACACGTATGCCAGACAATACATGCATGCATGGAAGACAACCGACCTACCTACACCGGAGCAGTATGGTTACTGACCACGAATCCCACACCCCCTATGTGGCTCAAAAAGATTAATGTGTTCTCAGGTCGTTTGCCCACCGCATGCCCTGAGCTCTCCTGCGTTACTGGCCTTGCCTCCATCCGGCAGCCCAGAGGAGGAAGGGTGATACCAGTGCGAAACCTACAAGGAAATCACCAGAGTCCAAGGCTCTTTCAATCCAAAGCAGCATCCAACTGATTTCATTGACTGTTTGTAAGGCTTTCTTTCTTGCAACAAACGTTGCTTGAGTCAAACCCTGCCCCCCATCCGCACAAAAACACCTCTTGGCGTGTGGAGAAGCCTCATGAGTTGGTGTTTTTCTTTTTCTCCATTCCAGAAGGAGGGGGGCGTGTCCCAGCGCATGTCCCACCACTCGAGTATGGACTCCAATGCCGCCACACCCCATAGCACGAAGATGTCCAACAAACTCATGAAGAGAGCAAGAGACTTGGCGCAAACATCTGCAAGACAGAGAGCTGGACAGGGGCTGCGTGAAAAGAGTTCCACCTCAGGTGGTCGGTGCTTCAAGTCTGCATCGTTTCGGTCTGAGACAAGCGACCAAAAGGGGTGTATTCCCGTCTTATTCAGGTTATGTTGTTTTGGAAGGTGGCTGGCAACAAGATGGTTGTATCGTTAGTTCTAGTTTGTTGCAATCCTTTTGGGGAGGGGTCAATGGTGGGGAGGGTTCATGGTGCTGGGGGCATGTTCAGTTCGGATGATTTTTCACGAAAAGACCTGAACGCCTTCCGCCTTTGTCCGTCTAACACTTCACCATTTCTTTCCTATATATAGGCAATACACTCAGGTTGAGACGACCCTGGATGTGTCTCTCTTTTTGAAGGAGCTACTAGTAACAAAGGGCATCGCTACGAACGTAGCTCCTGGCCTTACTACTAGGAACAAGAAGCTGCGAACGGAGCAAGGGCATCGCTACTTAGTAACAAAGGTTCTCGGTGCTGGATCGGATTGATCCGACCGAGCCTGTGTCATCGAGGAGAGGCCACGGAACACATGGAGGAGGAGCTGGAAGCAGAGCCTTGGAGAATGAGGCAGTGCAGCAGAGCTAGGCAGCTAGGTGGTTCAATGCTAGGGTGGTTACTTTGAGAAATGACCAGCTAAGGCTATCCAGTGACATAATGTGACATATACCAGGAGCCCCCAATCCCGTTTGGGGGGTGTTGTTTGGACCCCTTTCTGCCACTTTCTGGGGTGGTGAATGGACACTCCGGTAGCCACCAATTGGCACCCCATAGGGTCTCCTGGCAGTGACATGCAATGAGGCGGTCGCCTACTCAGAGGTAGGCGTGCTAGTTGAGAGCGCACGTTCGACCTGAGTCGGGACGACTCCCCGGTTACTCTGGAACGAGCCGGCAATGGATTCGTAGGGATTTGTAGCCTTAAACATCAGGAGCCTTCGGACATCTGCAGGAGTTTGAAGCGCAGTTTTTTCGTGCACATGAGGGGAAAGGCCCAACAGGGTGGGATCTACGGAAAAAGGAAGAGTTCACTACAAGCCCTAAGCTCGCGGGCCCTAAGCTCGCCCGCTCAGCAGCGGCCTCAACCGTTCAAGGATTCCTTGGAGTCAGCCCTTCAGCTTCGGGAGGAATGGGATCTTCCAGAAGAAAAGCTGCCTGGACAAACGCGATGAGCGCGAGATGAACATAGGAGGAGCTCCACTTCGTGGAGCGACTGAGGGGTTGAAAAGAGTCTGGCTGTGAATCAGCTGATCTAGTTTGGCTTTGTCGACCCTTGTTTGACACCATCCCAACTGTCCTCGTCTTGGAGAGTTGGCATCTGTTGGGGAAGTCCAAGAGCAAGCGCCTAAAAAACCAACCTCGCAGCCAGTGACCTCCCCAGCCGTTGTTGGAGCCATTGTGTGATTCTTTGGGGGTTCCATTGGTCCGTCTGACGGACCAGGCTGCGTTGAACACGACCTAGCTTCAAGAAAGGTTTCTCACCAAGGGTATCCAAGGGTGGTTCATTTATAACAAAACTAACAAGTTGGACCACTCATGGTTGGTATGGTTGGTGACTTTCTTCAATTCAGGCTCCACTTTAGGGGCCTAGTTGAGAACCAGGCGTAGCCCAGGGGGGTACTAAGAACCACTCAGAACCCCAATGAGGTTCGGAGAACCGATTGGGTTCGCAGAACCTCTTTTTTGGCCAGTGCAGAACCCCTTTTTTCATGGTTCTAAGAACCACCTCCTGGTACTCAGAAGGAACCCAAAGCAGGTTCCAAGAACCTTTCAGAACAAAGCCCCTCCCAACCGTGCCCCTAAAGTGGAGCCCTATCAATGGATGTCGTGGTTTTCTTGTCACGCACTTCTCGCTTCCCCGCCACCTCTGTTCCTATCACATCCTCCCCCGCTATGCCTACTCTGACAAAAAAAGAACACCCGGACTCGACGTTGATGTATTTGTGTAGAAACCAGTTGATGTAGAAACCAGTCAAGGAGCTCATTTGACTGGGTTTAGGTATACCTGGTGACCAAAGACACTGCTCCATGAGGTCAAGCAATGGTCAAGTATCAGGGTTTTACTTGGTCCTTGGCCTGTTAGGGAATATAGTTAACATATAATATAACCTTTATTCTTAAGGATAGTTTAAGATTTCACTATTGCCCAGACTGGATGGACAGCCTATAAGATTGACATTCTGTGTCCCTCTCCACATTGTTCGCTGAGACAGTCCGCACCCAGGCTGAAGGGCCTGAAGCGGCTTCAACGGAGGATGTCCGTCGGAAGCATGCAAACGATCAAGCCGCAGCACCAGAGGCGCACCCCCCGGAGCTCGGCTCGGGCGACGTGACGTAGGGGCTCCCGCGGGTCTCAGATGGACCGCAGGTCCTGTGTAGTTGCCAGGTAGAGAAGGCGACGAAAGTACGTGCGGTAGGAAGACAGGGGCTCAGCTGGAAGAGCCACCGTAACATGAAACATGGTTGGCCTCCATGACCCGAGGAGGGTATGAGCACAGGGTATGGTTCCTCTCGTTTTGAAGCTCGGGCTTTCGCACATCCGATGGAAGCTCGCTTTTGGCGGATTTGAGGTCCCTATGAAGCGTCATGGTTCACCTGTTGCATGGCATTAAAAGAAGTAAACATGAACCACACTGTGAGAACATTGACTTCTTGGGCATGCATACGTATTGTTTACCCTACTATGGGTTTCAGCACCCGATGTCGATGTTCAGTTTCGATATCCAACACCTCTCGAATCACACATAATTTGCCATATGCATGTGCAAAGCTGTGAGGAGATGGGAGGCCATGGTGTTCGAGTATCCGTTCACTCTCTTAAAAGGCATTCTCATTCATGCAAAAATCATTGAACATGGCAATAGCATGCAATGCAATAGCCTCTTCCACATTCAGTCTATACAACAAATATTAGCCAGGGGTCACAAGACGGGGTGGTGTTTGGTCCCTAAGTGAGTGGATGTGACAAGGGCACCCCTAACCTCCGAGTTCGTCACCCCGTCTTGTACCTCCAAGTTCGTCGTATTTGGGACGAAGCTTTCGCCCGATCCGATCCGTAGGGTCCCGTCCCTGGCCGATCCAATGAAGCAGGCAGTATTTGCTGAAGACGGAGCATCTCGATGCGCCCTGTTGTGTCGCCCATCCCAATTCCTGGATACGATCCTTGGGAGACGAGAAACCGAACTCGAAAGGACCACTGGTCCAGAACCAGCATGGCTATCTCGTTTCCTATATGGAATAGTTGTTGACATAGGGGCAAAGAAGAAAAACTATAGTAACAATTATTGACACGGTCACATGTATGGAATAGTTGCATGGTGCAAATATGTGTCATACGTAACTATTCCATACATGGATGGTTTGGGTATAGCTGTTGGATGCTGTTGGTGTTCAAACTTAAATTATCTTAATTGCTAGTCCAGTGGATCTCTTCGATGTATCCCTTGAAATCTGATTTGGGCCACCCGAAAGCCACGTTGAAAGATGGAGATGCCAAATGAAGCTTTCGCACGATAATTCGTTTCCTAATTTATGAAAATGAAGTAACTACATGTCCCAAGTTCACGATTCACCGCACCTGCCACGAAAAGTCGACCTCAGACCGGACATTTTTTTTGCGAGCACCCTTGATCGAAGCTATAGGCCCTGTGACCACAATGTTTGGGAATAAAAGAATCCATCCCCAGTCAGCTGGTTGAGCAATTGGTCTGGTCTAGACCATCACCATCCCTCACATGCTTTGGACACGTTGGATAGTATAAGGAAGTTTTTGGGATGCCTTGACAATCATCGCCATCCTCTTCGAGATCAGTGTGGCACCAATGCTCTTGTATCGCTTGGATGACTCCGCTCGCCGTGTGGCAGATTTGCTACAATGGATCACCACCATCTTTTGGGTCTTCGACGTGCCGGCAACCTTCTTCACGGCAACTTATGTCAATGACATTCTTTGCTTTCGCCTCCCAGATATTGCATCCGCATATCTGCGTGGTTGGTTCCTCTTCGACATGTTCATGCCCACTTGGATTTGCACCATCACCTTTTTTCAACTTGCCTTTACCCAGGCTGTCCCACTTACCACAGCCACGGGCAGGATGTTTACTGATTGTTTTTGTTCAATGGTTTGATATGGGTTGATCATTATTCTTTGTGCACCTGAAGCTGGGAATTCGGTGAGTAATGTGTTTTTTTCATGTTTTTCTTATCGCAGCTCGCAGGATGCTAGTTTCTGCGAAGCGTGAACAACATGTGGGATCTCAAACAAGTTCAAGACCTCAGTTCACTTCGCAAGCGACCAAACATCTTTGCCTAAGCATTTGACCGATGTGGAACAAAAAACACACGTTCCATCTGATTGCGCCGCGCTTTTTCGCGCTCGGTGCGACGCGCATTTTTTCGGAGACCGTTGTTCCGAGCGACCGCCCAAGGCTCGTGCCCGACCTCATCGTCCTATTGGCCCCTGAGATGGCAGACGGCCCCGCAGGTGTCTTTCGCATGGCGCGTGCGCGGCGAGTGCTGCGGCTCTTTCGCTTTGTGCAAATTGTGAGATTGTGGAAGACGCTTCAAAGCTGGTTGTCGACTTTTGAGCAGCTGGGCATGTTTTCTTATTCAAAAGACTGTCTTTTATGCCAAGATGGTCACACTCAGTGGATCTGAAGAGCGGTTTTAAAAACGTCTTTGAAGACCAGTTTGCCAGACAGTCCCACCCTTTATAAGGACTCGCTTGACCTTCTTGAGAACTCAATTTGGATCGGTTGCGCGGCCTGTTTTCTTCATGGGCCTTCTGATGGGAGTTGCAGTGCACGTGCTGGGAAGCTTGTGGTTTGCCGCTGGCGACACCCCGAGTGGCTGGGTTCTTGAAGAAGGTCTACATGAACTACCCATCACCAGGCAGTACACCAGGAGCCTTGCGTTGTTTGATTAATATGCCAATAAACCGTACACCATTCAGAATGTTGAAAAGTCCCAAAATACAGAGTGTTCCCAACAAAGCACCTTTGAGAATGGCCAGATAATGGTTTGCCTGCCTGCCAAAATCCGTGCAGCCGCAGCTTCTTGCTGCTGGATCCAGTTTCTTTTGGGGCTCCATTTCCATGTCGCTTCAGTTTCGGTCAGTGTTCTTTTTTCGGCTGCTGAAGTGAAAAATCACTGGGAAAGACTCGGAGTCTGTTAGACTCGAGTCTACACCTCAACATCAGATCTTTCAAGGTTTGGTTATGTCAACGGTTTAGTTCGCTAAATCGAATCTTGGATTCGGCTTGGAACTGTGTCTCGTCAGCTTGACGAACCGTTTTCTGCTGCACTTCAGCCGAACAATAAAAACAACAGCAACTTTGGTCGTCCACAGGAGCTTGGAATGGGCTTTGTCGAAACTGCCTCCCTCCTCCTTGCGCCTCACCGTGGAGCTCAACACGCCCTTGGAACGCTGGCTGGGTAACTTGGTGTCGCACGGCGCTGGCCCAACACGCCATGCTGCGTCGGGATCGAGGGTCGCGCTTCGAAGCGCTTGGTCATTGGCCTCATCATTCGTTGTTTCCGAGAATTTTGAGGGGGATTATCGTGTGGATACACATTTAACAGAGAACTTCGAAGGCGTTGCAGGGTCATGTGGACCAGTAGACTTGACTCGGATCTAAATCAGTTCGAGGGTTCAGCCTCTGGATTCGAGCATGAATCATTTGCTATGGGTAAGTCTGTAAGTTAGCGAGTTACATCATTTATGAATGTCTTAATAAAAGCCCCCATATATAAGAGGGTTTACAATCGAAACAGCGGGAGCATTAATAATCCATAATGTACATTGTGGGTACATGTAAATGATTCAATGCCCAAAATGTTGACATATCATCCATTTGCTAGCTAGGGGAAGTTCACTCGCCCATCCTGTCAGGAATGACCTGGTGTGATCAAATCGTCGAACCAAACGCTTTCACAAAAGTGTCACTTGAAATGTTGTTGCCTATAGGTGGTGGTTTCGGATATTTAGATATTTTTACATGTTCAACCATTAGCATGCTTGAACCACATTGTGAACCCATGCACGGACTAATACTTGTTCCTTTGTGACAGAAAAAACCACCGAGCCGTAAGGCGTTTGTGCTACATGCCTTGCATTGGTCTCGGGCTCTGTGTTTGTGAGCTTCATCACCAACACCATGGCGAATGTGGCACGAGAAAGGACGAATGGTGCGTTATGGTGCGTTATGGAACGGAAGCATCTTGGAAGCCAAACAATTACTATAATTAATTGCGTCCTTGTTACTACTAGTAAGGCACTTGTTACGAACGAAGCGATGCACTTGCTCTTTTCGGATCGGAAGCATCTTGGAAGCGGTTGCGGCCCCTCCTTTTAGGCTGTCGTTGTGGTGCACTCTGACGCATCAAGTGGATTTGGAACATGATTTGCATCAAAACTGGTTGCTTTTACCAGCAAATGACTTCTTGTGTAGGAAGCCATATTTGTACTGAGGACACCCCTACGCCCCACAATCAGTTGGCTTTGAGAAAGATTTGTTTGGTCAGCAAGTTCTGATGTTGAGCTCTGTAGCCACTATAGCTTCATGTTATAGTGGAACATAGTGGAACAGCAATTTCCTCTTGGTGTGTTTCAAGGTATACCAATGATAAGAGATGGTGTTCCTGGTTGCATCAAGTCTGCTTCTCTTCCAGGACGCGCGTGACCAAGATGATTGAGTCGGTCCGGAAGTACTGTGCGATCCACAATATCTCGTACAGCTACACCATGCAGATGAAGCGCTACGTTCAACAAGAGCATCGGCGCAATGAGATGCAGGGGCACATGCCTTTTCTGCAAAACCTTCCAGAGGGAATGATTCGAGAGCTCTTCCAGGAAGCTCGCAGCCCGATCCTGCATCGATGCTTAGCGGAGCTTTGGGAGAGAACATGTGCTCACAGCATGCGTCGGCCCTGGACGCAGTCGATGAGTCGACACATTTCCTCCAAAGGCTCCGACAGGTTAGAGTAAGACCAGCATCTTCAGCATGTGGTCCATTCTTGTGTTCTAATGTGTTCAAAGGAGCACTGCCAGGGGCTCCTGACATCGCTCCTAGGAGCAAGAAGCTACTAGGGGCTCCTGGCCTTACTACTAGGAGCGATCGGACGCTACTAGGAACAAAAGGCATCGCTACGAACGGAGCAAGTGTTTGAGGAAATTCTGCAATAGAGGTCCCACCCAGCCACCTGAAATCTTGAAGAAACAAACACCTGACCAGTGCCAAATGAATTCCCACGCAGGGTGCTCCGTTGTGGGTCCCTTCTGTTCGCTAAGGACATGCGTTTTTCAGAGAGATCGGGAAGTCTGATCCATCCATGGAGTTGAACTTATGCAGTCAGGCTGTCTTTGAGCTTTATCACTTGCCTGGTGACATCATCTTCGACACCACCACCAAGACTTTGGGGATGTACCTTTGCTGGCAATAAACAACTGTTGACCTCGGCCCCTTCTGCGTCCGCGGAATCAAATATTGATTGTCATTGACTCATTGACCCCTCAAACAGATGTGAACAGAGTGGTTTCATCCGCCTGGGAGGAGGCGATACCTCCGGATTTTGGAACGCATGACTGGTGACGTCGCGCGGTGGAGAGCAAAGTATGCCCTTGAGGGAGCAACAGGTTTATTGCCTTAGAAGAACTTAGCGGAAGAAGTTTCGCAGGTCTTTTTTTTGGAGAAGCCGCCGAGTGCTTCGAGGAATGATGTTAACCTTGAAAAGCGGACTAGGGACTTTTGGCCGGAACCTGGTTGTTCGCACAAACAAACCTGTCGTAACATCCAGTTTAAACCCATTGAACTACAGTAAACTTCTGGGTTGGCAACATCTCAAAGTCCTATGAAACCTGAAGCCTTGTCCGAAAGCCCTGTCACAAGTCTGACATGACTGTTGTGAATACCATACCTGGATCCTCTGAGTGCTGGGCCTCAATCGGGCAATATGTTTAGCTAAGGCTAGGACCTGAAAAAAAAAAAGAAAAACATCCGGATCCAAGATTCTGAATAAGAGGCTGGTGAAAGGTTGGATCATGCAAAAGGAAGTTGCCTTTGTGCCACAAGTAACTTTTCCGGACACGCTCATTCCACAACCCAACACTGGAGCCTTCCCGTTTCCCATGCCCTTGCCCGTTTTCCGAATGGCCTAAGTGCAGAACCATCACAAAATATATGCAAACATGTGCCCAAGCAAAGACTTCCAAGAACAAAACCAGCAGGAGTATGTGGCAACGAGACCCTCTTTCTTTGCAACTGTGTCTTAAAAGTTCTGTACAAAGTGATTGCTCTGCGGGAGATTTTATCTTTCCTCAGGACCTCGCACCAACAAACGTGGCAGAACTCATGGTTCTAGCATGTTCTAGCCCAAACTCTTCTTTAAGATGACTTTTTTTTCAAGATCTTCCACAAACTGAGTCCGCAAAAAGAAACGCCGGAGAGACGGCACATTGCGCCGGAGTGATGTGAGATTGGAGATACGTCCCGCCAGAAAAGGCGTCCGGACATCTGCAAGACGAGATACTGAACAACACTCGTTCTGCGAACTGGTCCGGCAGGTTCTGCAAACCTGCACAGGTAGAACTACAACCTGCACGCGCGAAAATGCGCTGTCCTGAAACACTGCTTTCTTGCCATTTCTTGCCTATGTTACGTCTGTGCTTTCAGCTTAACAAACAGCCAAAAACCACCCCCGCGTCTTGAAAGCACCAAACAACACGACCGAGACACCACCGAGGCACCACGGGACCGAGTTACGGCCCAGACACGGTGTGCGGTGTTTTTCTTCACGTCGGTGGAATGAGAAAACAGTGGAAACGGTGGAAAACGAGCACACTTTGAAAGCAAAACATGGCATCAGTAGTGGATTTACCTTGAATGCAAAGCCATGAGAATCCACATGAAGTGACTTGGAAAAACTGCCAGACAAAATCCTGAAAACCGCTGGAGTTGGAAGTCAGGCGCCCTGTAAAGGTCCGGATTGAAGATCGAGGTGTAGTGCTGTAGCAGAAGCACAGCAGGAGCACAGCAGGATAGCCTGTTCGATCGGCCCATCATCTCTGTAACAATCACAGCGGGAACAAATCACCAAGAACATCGACACCCCTGCCCCCTCCAACCCGAAAAATGTGTGTATTTTGAGTGGTGCCCCGAAGACCTGAAAGTGGACCTTTAAAGCCTGGCTTTGAAAAACCGCTCAGCAGGTACTTCATCGCCGCCGGCTTCAGTGTCTACTTCCACTGGTCAGATTCCGACCAAGTTCTCCAGGTGAAGTCCAACCACAGGATTGCCGGAGGCCTCCGGGCAACAAGTGCAGCCGCTAGTAGTAGCAAGGGCATCGCTAGTAGTAGCTTCTTGCTGCTAGTAATGCCCTGGCTACCTGAGAGGGGCGGAGATGTTCAACCTGTGACGTCAGTGAAGCACCGCTTGACGTCGCCGAGAAAATCGGGTTCACAGAGAAAAACGTGGAACATGGGTGATGGAGATGTGGATATTGAATACCACTGCTGGATCTGGATCCGGCAAAAATGACTGAATTTGAACACATATGTGGTGGGCCAACCCGAAATCACTGAGCTAGGAGATTCTAAGCATCGATATGTTCTTCGGCTCATGGTCAAGAACCCGAAGTTTGGAGCACTGATCAAACCAAGGGCCACGGGTTGCAACGGAACTTGCAATCCCATTTGGGGTGATCTCCACGCCGTTGACTGTTTCTGGGTGCCTCCCGGTCTTGTTTCAAGCTGGCAACCTGCGCAAAAGCTGGGTTGGGGTGCTTCCAGTTCCCAGAATGGTGTTTTTCTTTCCTCGGTAGTGTTTTTTCCAAAAGCTTGTGGGGGTTCGAGGGGTTCTGTCTTTTTCAAAGGAAGGACTCTTGCTCTGTCAGCAAATCGCAGCAGTTACAGTAAAGTATTTGGAGCTGGAGGAAGAATGCAGGAAGTCATCAGAGGCAGCTAGGGCAAATTTGGTTCAGCCAGTTTGACTGGTGGAGAGCATGCGTTGCTTGTTACAGAGGTAGAACTCAGAGATGAGAGAGTCAATTGAGTCTCTTTTTTGTCAGGCAATCTCTTCGGCAAATGGCTGGGTGTCCAGCGAGACTCTGATTCTGCCATCTCGCAAACCATGCTGGAAGTCGGAGAGTACGTCGCGGAACCCGCTGTGTGGGTGAACACTTGGCGCCATCAGGGAAAACTGCAGGCGGACATCGCCTGATTTGTATGTTAACTGAAGCAATGAACAGCTCCAAAACGCGGGATCACAGAACCTATGGAGAGGAGGCTTAGGCTCGTAGTTCTCGCGTTCTTTCCTGTGCTCACAGGCAGTGGTGCAGGCGAGGTCCCTCCTTGTCTCTACAGAGGACCTTTTCAAAGTACTTCAAGGCCTTGACCGAAGATGGGGGGCGTGAGGGGCGCTTGTTTCTCATGTGTTTGAAAAGACCCGAATGGACGCCCTGTTTGGTGAGGCTATGCCAATGCCCTGGCCACGACAGTGGTCTATGCGCGCTGTTTCGTGAAGGAGTTGAACAGACGAGCTCATTTGAGTCACGACCTCGGGATGGACACGTGTGAAGTCAGTAATTGGATGTAATTTGGTCATTGTCACACACCCAACTTGGAACCAGTCACGGCATATTTTAGCCGCTGACATCGGCGGTTTACACCGGTGGTGTCGGGCTTGAGCCGCTGACTCCGAGGTGGACAAGTGACGGATCTTCCACTGGCCTTCATGAAGCCTGGAGTTATTGAGTTGTCCCCTCCCAGTGACCCTCCAAAAAGGGACCCGCCGTTGAGTGGGCCCGGCCCTGTTTGGAAACGAAAACGGACCCGCACCGGCGGCAACGGAGAACCTGGTCTGAGTTTTCGGTGAGTTGGTGGAGTTTTCGGTGGAATCGGACGACCGAATCTTGATGAATCATCCACCCATATGAAGAGGCTTTTGCAATCCAAATAATAGGTAGGGGTTTGATGAATCAAGATTCTGCATTAGGGCGAATGACTCAGAATGACTGTTCCAGCTGATCATCCAAGGAAGGGTGGTTCAGAGGAGGATCTCAGCTTTGCAATGCCACGAGCACCCAAAATCAAGCAAGTCGTGCCAAGTTGAGCAGAAGGTTACTGTATACATCTGCTGATCGCTCCCCCTCAAGGGGGGGTTCGGCTGGCACAAGCGCTTGATGTTTCACTTCATGACATGTCGCGAAAGTTTTGGCGTAGGACTTAGGGCTGGGCGCGAGGTCGTGATGTCAAAGTGTCACTCGTCAGTTTAAAGCATGAATGCAACACTCGAATCCAGAAAAATCACCAATCACCGATAGTGTTTTGAAAGATTTTGAAAGGTGTGTTGTTTTGCATCGGCCAATCGCTGAGTAGTTGAGTAGTGTTTGTTGTATTCTGTTGTCACGTCCGTTTGTTCGGCCCAGACCTTCAGAAATGCCCCCCGCTTCGGCGAGCGAGGTGTGGCTCAAAGATTTTGTTCATGCCACCCAAAGTATGGTTTCCATGGAGCACAGATCACAAAAAAGGGGCTCTTACAAGACACCTCGAACTGGGGGCACATGGAATTTTGAGGTTTGTGAGTTTTGAGCCATACTCTAATCTTACCAAGGGCTGTTCTTTGGCTGGGGTGCTGGCGTAGTTTGGCGGCCGCTCCTCAAACCCAAAGTCGGCCAAGACTCGTTTGGCAGTCGCCGGACATTTTTTTTGCACATCTGAGAAGGAGTTTGAAGGAGTTCCTCGAGTGGCAAGTCCAGAACTCTCTTCACCAGTTGCATACCTATGTAAGTCACAGCGAGCGATTGAAAATGGATCTCCTGCTTTGGGCTTGCGGAAGATGATGGACGTTTGGGAAATCCAGATACTGAGGGGAACGGCTGAGTCCGAAGCAGCTGCTGACAGCAGGTGACAGCATCAAAATCAATTCCCCCATCATCCCCTGTGTCCAAGCAACAGCAGAAAGTTTGCTCCTGGTGCAGGAACCATGTTTTGTCGGTTTTGTTTTACTGTAGTTTCTTAGAAGCCAGGGTGTTTGCTTCCACCATTGTTGGAGGGATCCAATAGCCCACGACCGAAACACCCGCTCTTTCGCAGAGAGTCTCAGCTCACAGGAAGGGTATCCATCAAGGCTAAAAGAAGTGGAGATCTTGTCTGGACTGGATGCTGTTTCCACCTCAACAGACCGGCAACAGAAAGCAATGGAAATGGGAGTCTTTAAAAGAGACAGAGTAAGCCACCCACGAATTTCTTTGGACACGGTTGTGTGCAATGCAGAGCATTCAGCAAAGTGGTCCCTTTTGCTGGAGCAGGAAGATTCGAGTGGTTGCTCCATGCCTGCCACACCCTGTGCAATATTCACCTGGCAAGAGTTAAGCCATGGAGATTTACCAGATTGTTGCTTTGTTTGTAATTGAGATGTGATTGCAATCATCCGTTCGGATGAGTGAGTATGTTTATATAGTTCCCGAACTGATTCCGCAGTTGACTCGCCATCTAACTGCAATGCACCACGCATGCACCTCCATGCCGTGAGACGCCACCTGCGCGTGTGACCGGTTGGACCTCTCTCCATGGCGGGTCGGGGAAGCTCAGTTGGACGAAGCCGGGTCCGCGGGTTACGCCGAAGAAGCACGCAGCGGAACAGACGCGCCAGGAACCGGCGCCAGGAAGCGACGTCAGTGAGTGATATGCAGTGGGCAAACTCGACTGTCCGGAGGCGCTTGCGGCTCTCCACCATCCTGGATCGCACTGGGGCAAGGTTTTGATGTTTCTCCAGGTATTGCGACTTTAATGATCTCTTCTACAATTGGTTCAGGTCATTTCCAGGAAATGTATTTTTTACTATTTGTTCATTTGCAGGAAGCTTTCCTGTGGCTACATGCGCTTGCCACCTGGTCGGTACACAGTTGCTTCCGTCGGTGAACACCGAGGCCGCTATTTCCTGCGGTGCGCCTCGCTGGAGGAGGTGTGTTGGGTCTGCGTTCGCGTCCGCGTGATGATCCAGGTTTTTGAGCGGGCTTGGACAGCAAGCTGCAGGACCGGTCCGTTCAAAAGCGATCTTCGTCAAACCCGTTCAAACCTCCAAAAAGGGCCAAAACAAATGGCGGAGTGCTAAAATGGAAGGATTGCATTCTTTTGTTGGGTCTGCTGTTTACGCTGAGTGAGTGGGGCACGGTTGATGTACCCAACTTGGTCAGGTTGAGTGGAAGGGGAAGGCATTGAATGAATCGAATGGAATATATGTGAATGGTTGGTTTGTTTGCTTGCCCGTATGTCGTGGATTTATATCATTGTTGCCTCCACTATTATGAAAAAGTTTCAAGCAATGTAGTGTGATTATATAAATGTGTCATGTAGTACAGTTGGGTAATGTAAGAATGCATGTGCATGTCACATGCTGTCCAAGCATTTCCAAACCCGGGGTAGAACCCGCTGTCAAGGTCCAGGCGTCACGCAGCTCGAAAGGTGGGTGCTTTTCTGGCATCACCCCTTGTTCCGAAAAGATGTGAACAGAAAAGGAACCTCCATGAACCTCCCAAGCCTGCCAGGCGGCCGTATGGAGGACACCAGTGGGTGAATACACTCACAAAGGGACACAACGGCAGCCGTCACGGCAGCCGCATGGATCATGTGGACATCCCAAACGGACGAGTCATCAGCGGCCGTCTACAGCGGCCAGATGGTGTTTTTGTTCAGCTCTACACATCTGAATGCAATGTCGACTATGCTGCTCCACAGGTTGACACACATGGCTAACATTGCTACATTGCATGTTTCCTTAGGAACCCGTCCTTTTGGGTTTCCCGCCAACAACAAATATTTGAGAGTGAGTGTTTCGACGAGAGATTTCCGCGCAGGCGACGGTTTTCAGTCGCCTCAGATGCCTCAGACACACTTGTTCGGGTCTCATTCTCACCTCCCCCCCCCTGTTTGCTGAGAGCGATTGTTGAAAGGTGGATCCTCGTGTTTTTGTGCCTTGGCAGGTCCGGGAGTAAAACTCACATTAGGGTGGTTCTTAGATGAGTGTTTTTGGAGGGGGGCAGCCTGGCTGAGGAGGTGCAGGAGCCAACAAAACACGTAACGCACTCTTTTGGTACGATTGCCTGTCCTGAGCATTTCAAGGGCACCAATGGGTTGTGAAAGGAGTGGCTGGACCGGTTTGCATCCTGGTGACTGCTAACACAGTATTGGCTCAAAAAACTCAATTAGGCCAGTGGGTGATTGTATGAAAAGCTGACATTTTGCTCCTATATTTTTTAAAGCGCTATACGGATGCCAGCCTGCTCTAAATACCACGCATTTCATATTTCCAAAGCCGACTTAAACACAATCAGCCAGGACGTAAGTGCGTCTTTCAGTACACCCCCATTGGAGTGTCCACGGATGCCTAGTTCAGAAGGAATGAGGAAGCAAGTGAGTGCATAAAAGGTTCATGGATACCACGTGCCCAGGTTCTGGATGCCACCTTGGGCTGCATTGCAGCTGCATATCACGAACGCACCACTTCTGGCACGTATTGCCTACAGTAGTTGGTGTGTACTGAGCTGCACTGCTTTGCATTGGTGGTTGGAGCTATCGCCACGTGGCTCATCGGGCCAGCTTTGCAATGCCCAATGGATGTGATCTCCCTATTGGGGAGGCGCTCCTTGTGACTGAGCATAACTTTGGTATGTCAAAAGTGTGCCTGGGTGTGGCCGATAGTTGAGTGAAGCATGGTGGTCACATAGATCATTTCATCCTTGGGTTGTTTTTCCACGTTGTCAGGCTCCTCCAGTGCCAGAGGTCGAAGAGCTTGAGCCGACCAAGCCAGGTCGGAAGAACCTGGGGTCAAAGGTTTCCAACTTGTTCAGCCCACTTTGTGACGACCATGTTGCTTTGTTCAGAATGAGGATTGGAATGCGTAAAGGACAATTCACACTGAAAACGTGCGTGTCTAGAGTTTGTACATCTCTGCAAGATGTTGGTGGTGAATTCCTGGAGGTGAACGTTCTTTGCAGGAAAAATGTGAGGACCCTCGATTAGGTGCATAGAGTTTATTGGCGGCCTAAACATCCTTAAGTCTTTAAGCCACTGTTCATCAGGCATCCTGGCACTCCAGTATTCCAAAATACATTGAAAGGCCATAAAGCTGGCAGCTCAATCACATTTCACACTCGTTGTTCCGCTTAAGTTTTTACCCTTGTGGGATTTCGCGTCAGCCTAAGCAAGTTGCCAAGGACTCGCCATGAAGGAATCTAAACGCACCGCACCTCTTCGGAAGTCGACTGAGTGTGCCGCACACGTCACGTCGATGGGCGTCCGTGACTCCAAACGACTTGAGCGACAGCCTCCAGGCGGCGGAGCTGTGGACCTTGAGGTGCGTTTCGCGGGTTTCGCGGGGATGGAAGACGAGGACGGATTCGGCGGATTCAGCTGTGGATCAAAACACGGAGCCCGTGTCACTTGGTAGTTTGACCTCCCAGGTATATGTTAACCTAGAAAAACCGCGTTTTGACCCCACAAAACATCTCATGGAAGATGCAGAGGTTCCAACCCTTTCAACCCCGAAAGAAACAGAAACTGGCGAAGATGAGGACCTCCTGAAACCACCAGCAGCGTGACAATTTGGCGTTGGATTGTTGAAGCGTTGAAGGTAAAATGGGTACATGAAGACGACACGAAGTCGGTGGACGTTGACCACCAGTGAGCTGGATCGAGGCCTGTCGTTCTGTCGCACCTGGCGTTCTGAAACCTTGTTGTCATCCAAGTGTTTTTATTTTGTTGGTGGGTCTGTTCATTGTTCACTTTTGGAACCACATCATTAGAGGTTTGACTCAAGTTCCTCACAAACATGAAGAGTGATTATGAAAAAGATAGGCTCCCTGACCCTATCAT